GCCTCACAGGCCCAGGGAAAGAGCCGGACACAAAAGAGCACAGGCTGTGTGATTCCTCTGCTCTGAAGTTCTGCAACAAGCACAGCTAACCTACAGCAGGAGAACCTAGGAGAGTGGTTGCCTCTAGGGACGGAGAGAGCATATTGAAGAGGCACAAGGGGGTCTTTTCAGGGAGTGGAAATGTTCTAGATCTTGATCCGGTCATTGTCACATGGATGCATACATTTTTTTAATTCACTGACTATACACTTGACAATATTGCGCCCTTTACTGTATTTCGGTTATACCTCAGTTTAAGTAAAAAGTTTGAGAAAACGGGTGGGGAATTCTCCCAATAATCCTTCACACTAAGGATTCTTAACGTCAGTTTACAAATGAGGAAACCAAGCCCAGAGAGTGAAAATGGATTCACAGCCAAGTCTGCTGCCCAAACACCTGTGCTCTTCCCAGGAGATTTGCACTTCAGGATCGAATGCGTCTTATATGAAGTCATAATACACAAAATACATGAAAAGCAGAACTGCCCCCTTGGAAGCCCACCTCAGTCTCTCTGCATGGCCCTGGTGTTCCAAGGTGCAGAGTCTGAAAACCACTGCCCCACACCGAGCTGTCTTCCTGTAGCACCCAGGAACCAACCGCCAGTTGGGGGCGAAAGAATAATGTTGGGGTCCCGTGTGAACCACAGCTCCCCCATCTCCCTCTGCTCCCAGACCCAGCACAGTGGAGCCCTGGGCACCCTTACTTGGTGGGGCCAGGTGGATCACATATCCATTGCCAACGTAGACGGCCCAGTGTCTGTAGAAAGGGCGGAAAATCTCGATCAGGTCTCCAGGCTGGGGCTCTGGCTGCGAAACCAAGAAGAGTGCTGTTTCAGGTGATACGAGAGCTTGGAACCAGGGGCAGGGCTCAGCTAGGAGGGTGCAGCTCCACGGACTCCAGCTAACAGCTCTCCAGGGTGTCCTCCTGAGCCCTGCCCGGCCAGTCCAATGCCAGTCCGACTTCACAAGCCTGTGTCCCAGACCTGCAGGGACTACAGGCCTGCCCACCTGTCATTACAACCTGCAAAGTGCACGCCTAAAGGGTTTCTTCATTAGCCGGGGTTTCTACCTTATTGTTCCTCTTTCTAGGAGTATTATTTATTGAACTCTTACTCAGAGCCAAGCACTCTGCTAAGTGTTTTACAGGCGTAGCTCAATAAATTCACACAACCCTCCTATGAGGTGGGCACTGCTGTGAACCCCATGTTATGAATGAGGAAATCAAGACTCAGAGATGCAAAGGAATGTTCTCAAAGCCACACAGCCCCTGAGTGACGTGGCCAGGACTCAACACTAGGCTGCCTGATTCCCAGGCCCAGTGACTTGACCACCACACTGACCGTCAGGCAACACTACAGGTTATTTGATTAGAGCCGTGCATCTGGAGACTCTTCCAGGGGAAGTCAAATTGGGGAGTGTCACACAGACACCCCACGACCTGGCCCAGGGCCTGGCACAGAACTGGTGTCAACCTCTGGCAGTAATGTCCCCGTGGTTGCTCATCCCAAGGATAAGAGGGTGTGTGTGTGTGTGTGTGTGTGTGTGTGTGTCAGTGTGTGCGTGTGTGTGTTGGGGGTGTGTGTGTCAGTGTGTGTGTGTTGGGGTGTGTGTGTCAGTGTGTGTGCGTGTTGGGGTGTGTGTCAGTGTGTGCATGTTGGGGTTGTGTGTGTCAGTGTGTGTGCGTGTTGGTGTGTGTGTGTCAGTGTGTGTGCGTGTTGGGTGTGTGTGTCAGTGTGTGTGCGTGTTGGGGTGTGTGTGTCAGTGTGTGCGTGTTGAGGTGTGTGTGTCAGTGTGTGCGTGTGTGTGTGTGCGTGTTGGGGTGTGTGTGTGTCTGTGTGTGCGTGTTGGGGTGTGTGTCAGTGTGTGTGCGTGTTGGGTTGTGTGTGTCAGTGTGTGTGCCTGTTGGGGTGTGTGTGTCAGTGTGTGCGTGTTGGGGTGTGTGTGTCTGTGTGTGTGTGTGTGTTGGGGTGTGTGTGTCTGTGTGTGCGTGTTGGGGGGGTGTGTGTCAGTGTGTGTGCGTGTTGGGGTGTGTGTGTGTCAGTGTGTGTGTGCGTGTTGGGTGTGTGTGTGTCAGTGTGTGCGTGTTGGGGTGTGTGTGTGTCAGTGTGTGTGCGTGTTGGGGTGTGTGTCAGTGTGTGTGCGTGTTGGGGTGTGTGTGTGTGTGACAAGCAAAGGAAAACTCTGCACTGCTCACACCAGTACTTCTGACACTGGATGTGTGAGTTTTTCCACAATAAGCGATTCAATCCTCGGTGCACACTGGGCACCCACATTTTACCTCAGTTCTGACACTAACGGCCCGGAGTTAGCACGGACCCACAGGCTTAGTCCCAGAAGACTGAGGCCCCACACACACTTTAGACGCCAACTGCAAGTTTCAGGTTGTCAGCTGTGCTGTGAACAACCGGCTGTAAATTGGGCGTTCCCACAGCCCCCTCCTTGAGTTCAGTACTTTGCTGGAACAGCTCATAGAACTCAGGAAAACAGTTTACTTGCTAGATTACCAGTTACTAGAAAATATACAACACAGGAATAGCCAGAAATACAGAAGGCAAGCTGTGGTGGGAGGGGCACAGAGCTTCCATTACCCCTCTGGGGACCAGCGCTCGCCAGCACCCCCGTGCTTTCACCAACAGCCTAGGTTAGGGGTTTTATGGAGGCTTCGTTATGTAAGCATGATGGATTAAATCATTGGCCCTTGGTGATTAATGCAACCTCCAGCCCTCTGATCACCTGGTCGGTTGAAAGGGGCTTATTGTGAATGACGAAAGACATTCCTCTCACCTCTACTGCTCAGGAAATTACTCGGGTTTTAGGAGCTCTGTGGCAGGAATCTGGGGCCAAGACTAAATATCCATTTCTCATTATATCACAGTGAGAGTGCGTGGGAGTGAGGGTGTGCGCGTGTGTGCAGGGGAAGGTGGGAAGGATGCTGAAATGCTCCTCAGAGCCCCGCCCTGTTAGGGGAGCACAGCAGCCCAGAGCCTGAGAAAACCTGGGGAGGTTCAAGAACACTTACATTCAACCTACTGAGGTCCCAATGCCAGACACTGGGCTAAGTACTGCGGGTGGGGACACTCCGACCTGGGCCAGGATCAGGGCTGATGAGCTTCTGTGGTCCAAACCAACCTAAAATCTCTTTAGAACACCTGGAGACAGAGCCCATCGGTGGTCGTTCCAGGCCTCTGTCCTTTCCCGCTCACCTGCTTGCTCTTAGGGGACAGACCCATAGGATTTTACCCACATCCCACCGCCAAACTCTGTGGGCCTGAGAGATTCCATCAAAGATGAGGGGGGAGCATGGACTCCCCCTTGTATGGCCACCCCTGGGATAAAAATGATGGGCAGTGGAAGAGCCAGTCACAACTCTATAATGGCTAGGAGGCAGGGTCAATGACAGTTCATTTCTACTTATAGAAACAATAAAACTGCAAACAAACATCCCACATGGTAGGAAAAAAATCTTTTCACAGGAATTTTACAGATAAATCATATTGTCTTATTGCAGTGATTATAATTTATCTTCCCAGAAGAAGGCGCCCAGACCTTACTGGGAAGCTTTCAGAACACTGGACAATGGTCATAATTGATGAATCCCATTTGTTTTCCAGAATAAAAGAAAAAGTATATATTAATTGTTTGGTGAGAGTTATGGGGTCTTCAAGGATCCCCAAAGGGCAATTTAACTGGACATTTCCATGAATAAGCCAGGACATAAAAGCAAGGCTGAGACCCAGCCCTCAGGAAGGCTACTGATTAGAAAAGGAGACAGTTGGGACATCAGTAATATGACGTAAAGTAATAAGCAGCCAGTAGGTACACAGACCCAAGAAGCTCAGGGTCTCACTGTGTTCCAGACAGATATCAATGAAAGATATTGATATACAGAGAAACATGCTTGCAAAAATAAATAAATACACACACACACACACACACACACACACACACACACACACACAGTGACAAAAATATCTAAAAGAAACTCAGACTTCATAACACTAAATACTGATGCTAAGAGAAAGAAGCCATACCAATAATCTACGTACTGTGTGATTCTATTACACATCATTCCAGAATAGGCATCACCACAGGACAGAAAAGTAATCAGTGATTGTCAGGGGCTAGGAGTCAGAAGAGGGGTTGACAAGAAAGGGGAATGAGGAAATTGCAGAGCAATTACTTTCTGTACTGTTCTCTATTTGATGGTGGTGAATGGTTGGTTACTCAGTTGTCCATGTTTATCAGAACTCATCGAACTGAACACTAAAAGGGTAAATTAGACCGTAACTTTTTTAAACACTAATTTTTTTAATAAATAAAAAATTTTAACTTTAAGAAAATGGATATCCACAATTTGAAAGCAAAAAAGCTGTGATTTTTTTTTAATACTCAGTCATATTGCCTGTCCCTTGTAATGGCAAAAGGCACATATTTCCAAATATGCACTAGCTTAAAACATGACATCACTCAAGGAAACTTCTTTTTAAAAATGAAGTGAAAGGTGCTGGACTCTCCCACGGAGCCCTGTGCACTAGTTAGAAGCAAGGACTCGATGTTCACATGACCATGTGGATAATCTTTTAGATACAGTGCTGAGTGAAAAAATGAGATTGAGCTCCACAAAATACCACTTATACATATTAAAGATACCCACACACAAACCAATAATACATGTCTTACCAGAACGATACCCCAAAAACCAATTTTTAAAAACAACAACAAAAGAATCTAAAGAATATGTATTAAATATATTAGGATGCTACCTAGCTACTGGGAAGATAGAGAGGGAGAGGAATGATGATAAAAGAGAACTTAAAAAAGAAACAGAAGACAAGGGGTCTTGCAGGGACCAGTGAGGACAGGGTGTCATGAACAGGGATATAAATAATTCACACCCTTTCACTAAACTCTAATTGGAGAAACAACTGCTTAATGATACCCACAGCCAACTGAGCTGAATCAAAATTAAGAACTCAAGAAAGCATGTTATAAAATTAGAAATATGAGAACAAAGTCCTTGGGCCAAATTTATGCCTCTGCTTATTTTTGTATGCAGGCAAAGAATGATCTTTACATTTTTCAGTGGTTGGGGGAAAAGTCAAAAGAAGAAGAATATTTTGTGACACATGAAATTATATGAAATTCAAACTTCAGTATCTATAAAGTTTTATTGGCACAAAGCCACCCCCATCATTTACCTTGTGGCCGAGGCTGCTTTCTCCCTACAGCAGTAGAGTAGTTGCCACAGAGACCAGAGATAGTAAAATATTCACTCTCTGGCCCTTCAGTTTGGATCAACAGTGATCCCTCTCTCACTCAGCTTCATCCCCAGTCCCAGAAACCTAGCTGTACCCTTTTGTCAGGTGGTTCTTCCCCCAGGAACAAGGTGAGCCAGCAGGAAGCCAGAAACTCTCCAGAGCACAGTAACCAGGGCTCTCCCACACAACACAGCCAATGACAGTGGCAAAGCTGAGACTCTGCACCCACAGGATTTCAGAACAAAAAGTCTTTATTCTCTCCACAAAAGCACAGTTTACAAAGAGCTGTGTAACAGCCATTTTCCTTAGCAAGCAAATGGAGAACAATATCTGGCCTCTGCAAGTCACACTGGAAAAACCACCTAAACAACCATTAATAAGGACCAACTAAATTAATTATGTTATATTTATATGTACAAACAGCCAATAGAGAGAACAAGTTGGATTTACGTAAGCAGACGTAGAAATAATCAAAACAAGTAAGTTGGAAAACATTACCCCATTTTTGTTTAAAAAACATTGTTATACATTCACATGCAAAATGTATTA